CCGTTCACAGTTGCCATTGTTGTCATTGTTCACAGCCGCCTCCGTCTCCGTTCACAGTTGCCATTGTTGTCAGTCCTGGACACAGATCCAACTTCAAACTTGTGAAACCCCAACCTGATTATCACAAGTGAATGGGTTATAGCAGAAACAAAAGCAATCTAACCATCATTATTCCAGCAATATTCCAACTATATGGGTCATCTACATGAATCCTGTTTTGCCATTCTGTTCTGTTTAATGCCATTATCAACTGTTAAATTATGGGCACTTAAATTATTTCTTACTACTTCAACCATGTCCTTTTTGGTCTGTCCCTTGCCCTTCTTCCCCTTCAACTTGCAACAGACCACTTCTTATGGGTGCTGTTGGTGGTCTTCTATGCACATGASCAAACCATCTTAGTCTATTTTCTCTCATTCTATTACCTACTGTAGCTACTCCTAGGTTTCTTTGAATGACTTCATTTCTGATCCTATCCTTTCTAACTTTTCTACTCATCCATCTCAGCATACTCATTTGTGCCACAACTAATAGATAAGGAGCAAGATAATGTAACCTGAAGTTGCAAACTAGCACACACATAACAGATGAAGTGGATCTCTTCTAGTAATCAATAGATGTAGAGTGAGAGCAAGCAAATCAGTTCTTAATAGCAGCTGACTAGAGAGAACATCAGAAGGAGCCCAATTCTTTTTTTTTTTTCTGCAGACAGAAAAGTTACTTGGGTGTTTTGGCAGTAGAGGTAACTTGGTAAGAAGCTCAACAGTTAGTTGGTTAAGGGTTAGCATTTAGTTGATTTAGATTCATGATTTCTTGGGAAGGCTTGGTATTTTGGTCATAGATAGTTGTATTGTAGCAATAGTGGATTATGCTGCCTGTGTTTCCTTTTCTTTTTTGTTTTTTTCTCCTTTTTGGGGTTCAATCGACATGGGGTGGATATATGTTTGTATTTGGTCTTGTTTGCTTATCTTTTCCTAAGACCACTTAGAAGAGAAGGAGAGCTTGTTTAGGCTTGAATGTGTATGTTGATTCCTTTTTTCCATTTCTGGAGTTGATGTGCTTGATAAGTTTTGACTTTTGGTATTTATGATGATATATCTTTCTTCTTTTCTCTTTCTAATGAAATTTTTGTTCACTATATAAACAGAAACAGTTCAATTACAATAAGACGAACATGCATGAACAAATTTTAGAGCTTCTATAGTCTCATAAGACCCTACAAAATAGCAATATTAGCATCCTAAACTACCTCTGGTTGTTCCATAATACTAGTAGGCATCATAATCTACCAATTATACTGCCCAAAGTACTCTTAGTGGCATGGTCATTACAATCCTTTTGGTGCTTGTCTGTTGGGGCAGAGCCCTTTGCTCTGCTAAGGGCCTGGGTTTGGGTGTTCTCTGGGTTTTGAGAGCATTGAGGTCAAGACAATTCACAGGTTGTGATTGGACGGATGAAGAATCATGTATAGAGAGGGTCCCTTGATCTTTTTTGAGTAATCTGGGGTCCCTTCATATTGACATACTTCTACTTGGAGCACAGAACTTGGAAAGGAATTAATAATTCATATTTAATAAAACTGAAGGAGCAAGTTTCTTTTCCTAAAATTTCTAATTACACCAGAACTTGAAAGGAAAATAACTAATAGTGCAGCAATAGATCTCATAGAATTGCTCTATAGAAATCCCAATTAAATCAATACTCAAAATAGTATAAAAAAATAGACCAGAAGTAAAATTTAACAAATAGTTATAAAGTATTTCTAATAAAACTAAAGCTATTCATCTAGACTAACTGCATTTCAGAACAGATTTATGTTGAACTTTAGATGTTCTTGATGAATCATAGTAGATCTCTGTTTTTTGGTCTTAGTTTGTAAGCTGTTTACAGTTGATTTTAGGTGAAACCTCCTTGCCTTGGTTTTTGTTGTCAGCTCATTCTTAGTTTTATTTTTCTTGTTTTATTATTAGTTAGTGCCATAGGGGCATTTGTGTAATTCTCCATATCTTTTATATGTTTGCTGATACATATAAATACCATTGAGGGTGCCACCATCCCTGCTTCTTCTATTCTTCTTATGGATCTAAGTGAAAACAGTTTAATCTTAAATTTTCCTTCATTATCTGAAAGAAAGACTTTTTAATCATCAAAGACACTGCTTGAGGACTCATTTTACAGTTGATTTTAGGTGAAACCTCCTTAACTTGGTTTTAATCGTAAGTTTTCCTTCATTATCTGAAAAAAGGACTATTTAATCATCAAAGGCACTGCTTGAGGACTCGTTACTTATTTGATGGCTCCAGAATTTTGTACAGCAGCTATATGTGTCTAGACATCCAAAAATAAAAGTAGTAGTTCCATATTTTCATTGCGAAGTGGAACTATTGTAAAGTATTTGTAGTGGTTGCTCTACTACTTATGGGCTTAGCAAGTGGTCCACAGGATATTGTTCTGGGTTGACATTGAATTGTGTGTATGACTGAAAAACCACACATACTAATGCTTGACTGATAGACAAGTGACTGAAAAACTTAACTCGAAACTAAAGGTGAGACTACCATGAATATCTAATGGAACCGAGAGGGCTTTAGCTTTCTAGTTTTGATATTTAACTTAAACGTTCGCAAAAGAATGGGATGGAAAGAACTTTGGAGAATCTCTAAATTAATGATAACACAAGGGGAGACAGAATTGATTGCTGGGTAAAGATGGTCTGTCATTGCTTATATGTTTGAGTAAATAGGAAGGGCTGGTTGGAGGTTTAGTAAAGGGCCTTTGGGTTTGTAATGATAAGAATGTTTATGATACTGTCATATATATGAGGATTGTGGAAATTCAGTAACAAACGAACAAATAAAATGAAAAGGAAAACAGTGAGATAATAAGATGAGAACTGAAAAGATGGAGGAGGTGAACTAAAGATAGATCTTAATACTACCGGGTTTCTCTTGGAGTCATCATTTACCATCTAGAGATTTTTTTGATCAATGAGATAATATCTTATTAGAGTTAGAACAGAAAATTACAACAGGGTGAGAGTGTTCTTTTCCAAATTACAGTTTACAGTTCAGCCCAAAACAATTGGGGTCTCCTAGTCCCTTGTTTAGCTAGAGTATCTGCCATCTCATTTGCTGTTCTTCTCACCCATTTCAAAGTAACATTCAACTCCCTTACAATGCTCAAAATCTCCCTAAAAGTATGCCTATAGATCCATGGGATTTGGGTGCTACATCTTGTCCAAGCAATGACCACTTGAGAGTCCCCTTCCACTTCCAAATTAAGGAACCCAAAGTACCTMGCAAATCTTAATCCCTGCAGGAATCTAATTAGCTCTGTAGTCGGTGCGTCCCCATTTTCTAGAGGCCCTGAATACAAAGCTAACACCTTTCCTCCTGAATCTCTGAAGACACCTCCTATCCCAGCTTCATTTTGGTTACCAAGGAAGCTTCCATAAAAGTTCAGCTTCACGAAATTTGTTTCTGGGGGTCTCCACTCCATATTTTTTTTTTTCTTTTCCTTGCGCTGATAGAGCCACTTTCTTCCAAGTTCTGAGGATGTCATTCAAAGAGAAGACTTTGAAGTCTTCCAGAGTTTCTACCCAGTGAGCAGCTTTTAACTTTATTGTTTCAAAAATTTCCTTCTCTGATCTTTTTTTTTCATTGAAAATTCTTCCATTTCTCTCTTCCCAAATAGTCCAAACCAAGGCAGCCCTCGCCGATATCCATAATAATCTTCCTCTTTGTTTTGGTTGCCTCATGAAGCTAGGGTCAAAAAGGCCCACCACCTTCTGTGGGGAATTCCACCTGCACCCAAAAAGATAACAAAGATACTCCCAAATACAAAGCACAAAAGGGATGAATAGAAAGATATGGGAAACAGTTTCACCATTGCATTTACATAGGCTGCACACATGAGGGGAGAGGCATTTATTTGGCCTTATTTTCTTTAGCATATCACAAGTGTTTATCTTTCCAAGGAAGACTTACCAACAAAAAGCATGAATCTTAGGAGGGATTGGCTTACTCCAAATTTCTTTCACCGGGAAAATTGCCCCCATGGTAGCTGGCTGAGTTAAGAAGTTAAAGAAGGAAGCGCAAGTAAAAAGACCATTGGGGGAGATTGACCATACTCTGGTATCCTCGACAATTTGATCCAAAAAAAGTGAGCCAAGTCTGGCCAAAAGAGAGATGAGAGACTCACATTCCGAATCCCTAAGATCCCTTCTGAACCCAAAGTCCCAATTTAAACCTGAAGTTGAGAGACTCACATTTACCATCTAGAGATTATTAGGATTTCTATAAGTTTGGAGTCAGCACCAAACACAGCAATGGGGAAAGCTCTTTATATTATCCATTTAATGCTCAATAGAGTGTTTACATGTATTTACATGGCGGATGCATCTCATTTTAGATTTAAAGTATGCTTATTCAGGAATTCCTACAACTATTTAGGAATTAATCTTTATTAAAAAGAAAAATGACTTGCTAGAAAAAATATTGTCTTTAAGTTCCTACAAATATACACAAATTCTTGAGTATCCAAACAAATCTTCTATTTTTGGTAATTTCATTATGGGAATCTTAAGAAGATTTGATTGGTAGTGAATCCTTGTTTATAATATGGGTCCATTCAAATGTGCGACTAACTTATTGGGCTTGCTGGGATGGGATCAAATTTGTGGGCCTTAGGCTCAACTGAATGATTTATAGGGCTTGGGCTTGGACTTGGTGATGAATATTTTCAAGACTATGGAATGGGATCAGGTTCAGTTAAACCTGATTGCTAGCCTGCTGTGAGAACCATACAAAGGCCCATAGAGACCTAGAAAAAAGTATGAGTTTGGTTTCGTTTTTTAATCTCAGTCCTACTTCAGATACTATTAGGTAATAATACATATGCATTCAGAAGATATGTAGCCCCGAGGCTCCCACTTTCCTATTTCTACATCCTTTTCTGTTTCTATTTGCAATTTAATCTTCAATATATTGGATTTTATGCAGGTATTGTGCTGATAATCCTGGACTTTTCAAGAATGCAGATACTGCATATGTTCTTGCATATGCAGTTATCATGTTGAATACTGATGCACACAATCCGATGGTGTGGCCTAAAATGTCAAAGTCTGATTTTATACGCATGAATACTGTAAGTGATGCGGAGGAGTGTGCTCCGAAGGATCTCCTGGTGGAAATTTATGATTCAATTGTTAAGGAGGAGATAAAAATGAAAAATGACATAACTAGTGGTGGCAAAAGCAGCAGACAAAGGCCAGAGACAGAAGAGAGAGGTCGTATTGTCAACATTCTTAATTTGGCTCTCCCCAGAAGAAAGTCAGCTGGTGATAGTAAGTCAGATAGTGAAGATATCATAAAGCAAACACAGGCTTTTTTCAGAAAACAAGGGGCAAAAAGAGGTGTTTTCTATACAGCAGAGCATATTGAAATTGTAAGGCCAATGGTTGAAGCTGTAGGATGGCCATTGCTTGCTACATTCTCAGTTACAATGGAAGAAGGTGAGAATAAGCCTAGGGTTCTATTGTGCATGGAGGGATTTAGAGCAGGTATACACATGACTCGTGTTCTTGGAATGGATACAATGCGTTATGCTTTTTTGACGTCCTTAGTCAGGTAAATCGTCCTTTGATTCTTTTTCCCCAAGCATTTCCAGTTATTTCCTTTTGACATATTTCCCAATAATTATTGTTTTGTTTTTGGATAAGCAAACACAAAGCATTCTTTGCCTTAACTTCCATGCTTTTGAATTTACATTCAGATTTACTTTCTTGCATGCCCCAAAGGATATGCGTAGTAAAAATGTGGAGGCCTTGCGGACTCTGCTTTCTCTTTGCGACTCAGAGACAGATTCCTTGCAAGACACGTGGAATGCTGTCTTAGAATGTGTTTCTCGGTTAGAATTTATAACATCAACTCCAGCTATTGCAGCTACTGTTATGCATGGATCAAATCAAATTTCCAGGGATGCAGTTCTTCATTCTCTCAAGGATTTGGCTGGGAAACCAGCTGAACAAGTATTTGTGAACAGTGTAAAATTGCCCAGTGATTCAGTTGTGGAGTTTTTCACAGCTCTTTGTGGTGTATCAGCTGAAGAACTTAAACAAACTCCGGCTCGTGTTTTCAGCTTGCAGAAACTTGTTGAGATCAGCTACTACAATATGGCTCGGATACGCATGGTAACTCCTTTATCGGTTAATATTTATACTTTGCATGGTTATATCTGACATTTTGGAGCCATTTACATACCTATTTATGAATGATGTCTTTATGTCAAGGATCATATCTTCCAATGATTCCAATAAAATTAGCCATGGCTTCCAAAAATACTAGGTGTGTAAACTGAGCTTGTTTTTCCACTTTACATCTAGATTTGTTGAACCATATGAACTGGAGTGACACAGCTGGACCGCATGTGTTCCTTTGAGTAAACATAACTGTGGAAAATAAAGATTTGTAGGTAGATGATGACAACAGTAGAACAAAAAGAAATAATCAAAGAAGATGAGAGAGAAATATAGAAAGATAAATCAGAATGAGAAGAGAGGAAGAAGAAGAAGAATGGAAGAAAAAGGGAGAAGGAGATGAGAAAGAGCTATTGTTAAAAATCTGTTAGTATATTCAGATTAGTACTGCAGGGGTACTATTGTAGTTTCTCCCTTTCTTTTATTTGTTTATGTTGCCCTAATATAAATACCAAAAGCTGGTGCCGCCAGCCTTACCTTTTGGCTCTCAAACCTTTTTACTCTCCTCTCTCTTCTCTCTTCTTAATTCTCTTCTCCTTCTCCTTCTCTTCTGGACAATTTGGTATCAGAGCGGGACTATTAGATCTGAAAGGAGATTGAGCAAGCCTTTTTTCTGTCTTCTCTCTTCACCAGCTGCTGTTTGTTTTACTGAAGATCCAGAGTACAGCATCGGACTGATTCCAGAAGTACCTTCTCTGCCTCTCTTTTATTTTTTTTTCTGGTCGTGTACCAGGACAGAACCTGTAGTAGGTTCACTCAACTGATGTGAGGTGATCAGCACCTATTCTTTCCTTTTTTGTGGGATTGGTTGATCCCTGTGATGCTCTGTAGGTCGATGATAACCTGTATATGCTGTGACAGAAGCTCTATGGTGTGTGTTTGTAGGTCAGGAGATGACCTGCATGTGCTGTGACAGCAGCCCTGTGGTTGGTTTGTAGGTTGTTGATGACCTGTAAGTGCTGTAACAGCAGTAGAATTATTTCTTTAGTGATTGAAATGCTGTGTTTGAACTGAAAGGTGGTTGTCTCTAGTTTCCTGCTGCAAAGCCATTTTTTCAACAGTAATACAGTGTGCTAAGGGGGAATTGTGTGGACTGGAGACAAATTAAATAAATATTAACTTTCTGGGGTGGTGGATTGCACTGTTTTAGGTTTTTGTGACTACTTTGGGTGTGACCTGAAACAGTTATCATGAGTGGTGAAGATTCTGCCACATCTGGTGTTTCCTCTATGCAGAATGGATTGAATGGGGGTATGGATTTTTCCTTCCCTATGGCTGTCATACCCCTTGATGGTCTAAATTACTTGGAATGGTCGAAAGGGATCAGGTTGTACATTACTGCAAGGGAAAAGATAGGGTATATAAATGGGAGAATTAAAGAACCTAATTCTGGGAGTGCTGAATATGATAGATGGAACCAGGAAAACAGCATGGTTATGTCCTAGCTTTTAGTGTTTATGCAACCTCAGGTGAGAAGAAATTTTATGTTGGATGAAACGGCTTATGAGATTTGGGAACAAGCAAAGTCAACCTATTCTGAATTGTGTCACTATGCAAAGATCTATCAATTATAGGTGGAATCATCTACTTGTAAACATGGGGAAAGGAGTCTCTCTGTGTACTATTCAGACTTGACCTCCATCTGGAAGGAGTTAGATCACTATCGGAGAGTGGAATGGAAGTGTGATGAAGATGCAAAAGCGTACAAGTCCCTTGTTTCCCATCAGCGAGTATTTGCATTTCTTCATGGCTTAAACCCTGTGTATGAATCCATTAGAGTCTAGATCTTAGGCAGCAAAGATCTTCCATCTATCCAGGAGGTATATGCATTAGTACAGTCAGAGAAAAGTAGAAGAAATTTGATGAATAATTCTGGGGGGGATGCAGTTGTATTGGCAACGAAAGGGAATGTTGTTACAGGTGGGGGAAATCCCTTTAAGAAGGGGGACTTTAAAAAAAGGGTGGATGAGGAAGAGTCCTTGAAAATGGTGTTTCCAGAGTTGTTTAAGTCAGTATCAGTGTTAGAGTTTACATGTCAAACTTGTAAATTGAGTAAGCATTGTAGAACTCATTTTCCTTCAAAGAATAATAAATCTGAATTTCCTTTCCATATTGTTCATTCTGATTGTTGGGGCCATGTTACTTTACCATCTGAGAGTGTCTACAAGTATTTTATTACCTTTATTGATGAGTATTCCAAATACACATGGGTGTATCCAATGCGAACTAGGGATGAAGTACCAAGAATTATCCAAGCTTTCCAACGGATGATCTTCACCCAATTTCAAACTGAAATCTAAGTCTTCCAATCCAATAATGCCAATGAATACTTTCATAATGATCTCACGGAGTTCTTTGCTTCGTGTGGATCACTTCACCGTAGCTCATGTGCTCGAACACCCCAACAAAATGGTGTTGCTGAAAGAAAGAACCGGCATCTTCTTGAAGTAGCTTGGGGGTTAGTGATTCATATGAATGTCCCAAAACGTTTTTGGTTTGAGGTTGTCCTTAGTGCTACTTATCTCATTAATTGTATGCCCTCTCGTTGGTTAGAGTGCAAAGCTCCACTTCAATTCCTTTTTCCCAAGGCTCATTTTCTTTCTATTCCTCCACGTGTGTTTGGATGTTGTTTCTTTGTTCAAAACCTTTCATCCACCCATGCAAAATTGGGTCCTCATGCTATTCCTTGCATCTTCTTGAGGTACTCCACAACTTAGAAGGGGTACTAGTGCTTTGATCCAGTCTCTCAGGAATATTATGTTTCTATGGATGTCTCTTTCTTTGAGAATGAGCCTTTCTTCCCTGTTTCTCCTCCTCCCTTCCGTGTTTTCTTTTGTCGTCACAAAGACCAACCATGTTCAAGAGTTGTGGAGAACCTAGAAGTTATACCACTAATGCCATCAAATTCTTGGGGGGTGGGCCCTACCCAACTAGGTACCTTGGTTCCCATTGATGTTTCTGACCCTATTGCTATTGATACCTCCATTGTTGATGACCTTGACTTTCCTATTGCTCACCGGAAAGGCGTTAGGTCTTGCACCACTAAACATCCCATTTCTCATTTTGTTTCTTAAGAATGTGGTAGAAGCTTTGTTGGTGCCTGAATGGGCAGATGCAATGAAGGAATAAATTAATGCTTTGTATAAAAATGGTACATGGGAATTGGTGGATCTTCTTGAGGGGAAGGAACCGGTTGGATGTAAATGGGTTTTTATAGTAAAACATAGGGCTGATGGCATAGTGGAGCGGTATAAAGCTCATTTAGTGGAAAAAGGGTTTACACAAATGTATGAAGTGGATTATGTAGAAACTTTTGCACCAATTGCTAAGATGAACTCCATTAGAGTGAGTGTGCAGGTTAAAAAAGTGTACATGGTACAATCCCTGGTTTCCGAGCTCAAGGTGATGAACAGTGAGTGTGCAGGTTAAAAAAGTCATTATATGGCCTGAAACAATCACCAAGAGCCTGGTTCAACAAGTTTTATGTATTTGTTCAACAAAGAGGCTACAAGTAGTGTCAATCTGATCATGCATTGTTTGTGAAAAGAGGGGAAAGAAAAATTGCAGCCCTGATAGTGCATGTTGATGATATAGTTATCATTGGTGATTGGAAAGACGAAATTCAAAAGTTGAAGGGATTTTTTGCTACTCAATTTGAGGTGAAAGATCTAGGTCCTTTAAGGTACTTCCTTGGAATTGAAGTTGCCCGTTCACAAAAGGTATCTTCATTTCCCAGAGAAAGTTTGTCTTAGATTTTTTCCAAGATACAGGAAAATTGGGAGTGAAACCTATTGATTCTCCTATTGATCCTAATCACAAATTAGGTGGTTGTCAAGGTGAATTCATCAAGGATGTGAAACAATTTCAGAGGCTTGTAGAAAGATTGCTATATCTATCTATGACTCGACCAAACATTGCTTATGCATTGGGTAGACCTGGCAAAAAGTTGACTCAACCCACGAACCCGACCCAACCCAGTYCGAAAAAACAGGGTTAGGGTCTCATATTTAGCTACCTGAATGTGAGAATGACCCAACCCGACCCAACATGAAAAAAACTAGGTTGGGTTGGGTCATGGGTCAACCCACTGACCCGATTGTCATTTTTCATGTAGTTTTTCTTTATTTTTTAAATTTCATTTATTTTTTGGGATGACTCGAATTGACCCATGGCTCAACCCTAACCCAAACATTTAGGGTTAGGGTCTAGCATTTGATAACCCAACTTGAAATTCAACCTGAGCCAAAATCAACCCAAAGTGTCTTAACCCGAACCCGAACCCGGACCCGGACCCGAACCCGAACCGCCCACCCCAATTGCCAGGTCTAGCAGTAGGTGCTCTTAGTCAATTCATGCATGCCCCTAAGACCACCCACCTTGAAGCAACTGAAAGAATCCTTAGATATCTTAAGAAATTTCCAAGTGTAGGTTTATTGTTCCAAAAGCATGGGCACTTGAAAGTTGAAGTGTATACCGATGCAGATTGGGCAAGATCCCTAAATGATAGGAAGTCTACCAGCTGCTACTGTAYTTTTGTGGGAGGGAACCTAGTCACATGGAGAAGCAAAAAGCAGAATGTGGTGGCTAGGTYTAGTGCTGAAGCTGAACATAGGGCAATGTCTCATGGAGTGGCCGAAATTATGTGGCTAAAAAATTTGTTGAGTGAGTTGGGATTTATAGTTGATGGACCTATGACCTTATATTGTGATAACAAAGCAGCTATAAACATTGTTGCTAATCCAATGCTGCATGATAGAAATACACACATCGAAGTCGACAAACATTTTATCAGAGAAAAGGTTGTCAAAGGGGAAGTATGTACCCCTTATGTCAGTTCTGAAGACCAACTTGCAGACATCTTCACAAAAGGGTTACATCACTTGCGGCATCATGATTTATGTGACAAGTTGGGCATGATTGACATATATGTTCCA